CTGCGCGCTCTACTGCATTGCGAGATTGCGCGGCTGTCCTCTAACAGATTCTGCCTCTCCCTGCCTCCGGCGGTGCCCTCGGGGCAGGACATTGGGCCCCCTCTCCCTGGCCCCTCAGCATGCAGCACAGACCCAGCGGGCCAGAGGAGGTGCTTGTCGCAGTTTCTTTTCTCGTCCTCGACTCTCGACCTTCTCCCCTACCAGGCCACCCTGCAGTTCTGCGTGGTGAAGCCGCTCATGGCTGTCAGCACCGTGGTCCTCCAGGCCTTCGGCAAGTACCGGGATGGTGACTTTGAGTAAGCAGAGGGTCCCCCCGACAGGCGTGAGGGGAGGAGGCTGATGCCCCCGCCTTAGGGAAGGGGGTGGCTGCAGACCGGCCCCACGCCCCTGACCTTCCTCTGAGGGGCCAAGCACGGCCCGGCCCTCCTCACGCCTCCTTGCACCCCTGAGTTGCAAGGCCCATGCCTGGCGGTGACCACCATCCCACTTGGCCCCGCCTACAGACTGGTGCCCCAGGGGTGGGCCCGAAAGGGATAGTGACCACCCCCAGGGGAGGGAGCAAGAAAGTCAGAGCCCGGAGAGGCCTGTCTGGAGTCCCCGGGTAGAAGGCTTCTCCCGTGTAGATTTCCTCTTGTTTTGGGACTTAGTGAAAGTGACCTTGTATCCAGGCCCCGTGCTTGCAGACGCTTTGCATATACCACCTGCACCCCGCATGACCGCCCTGCTGGGGCAGGTGAGCAAACGGGGGCTCAGGGGGGACATGACTTGGCTCAAGAGAAAAGAGCAGAGCCAAGCTCTGTGTTGTTCTCACACCTGTTGCCGGACCATCGGGCTGAGCTCCCCACCCCTGGTCCTAGTGGCTTCCACGTCTGTGTCCCCACCAGGAGCCTGGGCACCAGAGCAGAGGCGGCAGGGCTGACCTTCACCGCGGGCGCACACCCTCGCACACCTCCCCTCCACCCCCTGCTTCTTGGCCACTTGGATCCCTTTCTTCAGTGGCTCGTGGAGCACTGCTTGGGGAGCATTGCTGGGAGCCATGGGGCTTGGCGGACTGGCAGGGCAGAGGCGGGAGGGAGGCCTCTTGTCCCTCAGAAGGCTCTGTCCAAGCCAGAGAACACTCCCCGTTCCCACAGTGTCACCAGTGGCTACCTCTACGTGACCATCATCTACAACATCTCCGTCAGCCTGGCCCTCTACGCCCTCTTCCTCTTCTACTTTGCCACCCGGGACCTACTTAGCCCCTACAGCCCCGTCCTCAAGTTCTTCATGGTCAAGTCCGTCATTTTTCTCTCCTTCTGGCAAGGTGAGCCTCTTCCCAGGCCCCGTGAGGCCCATGCTGTCCCTGGGCCCTCGCAGCCTAGAGCCCAGACCTCTGTCCACCGGGCCCCTCAGGGGCCTTTCACAGGAGCCATGGGGGACCTTCTGTGGGGCTGCTTCATGGACGGGGGACCCAGGGGACCCCCAGTGTTGGCGGCCAGCAAGGAGCTAGCGGAGTGGGGTTTCCCAGAGGCCTCAGCTTGGTGTTGGCATCCCAGCCCCACAGGAGCAACCATGGACCCCACTGCCATCCTTGCCGGTGGGGGTGGCGTTTGGGGGGCTGCTGCATGAGGAAGGGGCAACAGGACAGGGGCCCAGTCTAGGGCCACATGCCCACGCCTCCTCTTCCAGGCATGCTCCTGGCCATCCTGGAGAAGTGTGGGGCCATCCCCAAGATCCACTCGGCCCGCGTGTCTGTGGGCGAGGGCACTGTGGCCGCCGGCTACCAGGACTTCATCATCTGTGTGGAGATGTTCTTCGCAGCTCTGGCCCTGCGGCACGCCTTCACCTACAAGGTTTATGCTGACAAGAGGCTGGATGCGCAAGGTACGAGCCAGCAGCCTGGAGACCCCCACCCCAGAGGGAGAAGCCCTCCCTAGCCCTGCCCCAGGGCCCTCCTGCCACCCAGTGTCCGACAGGCGGTGACAGCGCGGGCGTCTCCTGCCTACTGGTGGGAAAGGGCCCACGCAGGTCGAGGCTGTCCTGCCCTGTGCCCCCAACACAAGGTTGTGGGGGGTTGGGGTAGGGGAGGTCCCGGCAGCTGAGCCCACCTGACTCTTGCAGCAGGCCTGGAGTCTGGAGAGCCCCGCGGGAAGGTCAGGACAGAGACCCCAGAGTAAACAGGTTTCTTGGGGCTCCTCACACCAGACTCGGCTTTCCATTCCGTCCTGTAATTCCCTCGGCTCTAAAGTTCTCCATCCTTTTATATCTGGGATTCCTTCTAAGAAACGGACTCAGATGGGCATCGTTTTTAACAGCTTGCTTTTTACAGCTGCTCATTTTCCTCTTTGTTGGAAGAGGTTGGCAACCCCAGTTGTACATTAGGATGCCCCGGAGAGTACAAGTCCCACATCTGGGGGCCCCCCTCCCCAAGATTTGACAATGAGTGGTCTGGGCCTGGACAGCGGTGGCAGGGGGTTTCCCAGCTCCCCCGGGCCTCTGGCTGCTACTGGGCGGAGGGGATGGTGGGGGGTTGGCGGCAGAGGAGGCCAGGAATGCCCCAGTGAGGAGGCGGGAGGGTCTGGGGAGGGGACGCTCCTGCTCTAACACGCCACCCCCCAGGAGTCAGGCTGCTGCCGCTGCCTTCCATGTGGCCACAGACGAGAACCCACTTCCCCGGGCCTAGCGCCTAGGCCCACCACAGGCCCTGGAGAGTGGGGTGCTGCAGCAGGGCCCCTTGGCCCCTTCCCCTTCTTACTCAGGCGCTCTCTCCCTGGCCGGAAAGAGACCTGCCGGCCCCTTCTGGATGGGCTGGCACTCCAGGCTGCTAGGCCGCCCGGCTCTTGTGCGCCCAGCTGTGTTCTCCTGGCACACTTGGCGGAGGGCTCTCAGCACCCCTTCTGTTTGTGATCGCACACCTACCCAGTGCTGGCCGCCTCGCTGCTGCCCCACCCGCTTCCCTCTGGGCCCCCAGATCTGGCAAGCACCCACTCAGTGTTGAGGGCGATGTCCCTTGGACCTGCTCCCGACAGAGCCTGTGCCCTTAGGAAAGTCACCCTTGTGCCTGGAGCCTGGGGCCATAGCAGAGAACCCTTTCTGGACCTTGAGGTTTAAAATGTCGCACGTGGGGGCTCTGCAGAGGCCCAGCGGACACCTGGGCTTTATCTTCCCACCCACTGCTCCTGGACCACCAGCCCAGCAAAGAACAGCATGGCCAGAAACCCAGCTATAGCAAAGAGCCCAGCCCAGCCCTACCAGGGAAAGGCAGGACCCCACCTCTGTGCTGGACGCACTAACCCCTCAGCCTTGCAATCGGGCTTGGGTCCCCAGCTGCCCTTCCTGGGGGATCTGTACGGGGAACCACACCCCCTTGCCCCCCGGTCTTGATTTCCTTGTCTGTGAAGTGTCGTGAGGTTCATAAAGCACATGGCACAGGCTTAGCAATTCCATCCAAGCCTAAAGAGAAGTGGGGGTGCTGGGGTCCTGACTTAGATGTGGAGGTGGGGCCTCGACCACCGTCCTGGGTATCTGCTGTTGGTTCTCCCATCCCCCCGGACGAGAGTGTGAGCCCCGTGAGAGGAGTCATCCCTGGGTGGACATGCGCCCCCCCCAGGTGCCAGGCTCCGAAGGGGCAGCAGGGGCTGCTGGGTGGGGGCGGGAAGGGTGTCTGGTGCCGTGTGCAGGCCTCGGTGGTGGGCAGATGGTGTTACTCAGCTGTCTCTTGTCTTCTCTATCTCTCTGGCTTCTCTCCCCCTCCCCTTTCCCCCTCCGCCCTGCTTCTGCCCCGGGTTTGGCCGCGGGCAGTGCCAACATACGGCCCTTACGGTAGGTTCTGCTCTCGGTCTGCACGTCTGTCCTGCACGTCAGTCGTGGTCACCGTCACCGGCATGCCTCTCTCCCTAGCCCCTTTTCTGTGTTCCTGTCTCACAGGCACCCCCAGGCAGCAGAGCTCAGAGCCCCTGCCTGCCAAGGGCTGCCCCCGTAGAGTTTGCCTGCTTCCGTCCTGGTCTCTCAATGTTCTGGAATATGCCCTACTGGGTCCTGGGGGCACAGTGCGTGTTAATGGGAAATCCATGGCGGAGAACATGAAGGTGGAAAGGACATGCCAGATTTGAATTTGAAGACCTGGGCTTATCTCTTACCTCTCGGTTTTGGGGGCCGGGGCCACTTCTCCCCGCTGAACCTGTGGCGGGGGAGAATTCCTTAGAGGGGAAGTTAGGAGGAAGCGCATCAGGGCTGGCGGCTTCCGCCCTCTCAGAGGGGAGCTGGTGAGGATTTATGGGTCAACCCCACTGTGGGTGCTGGCAGACACCCTGTCCTGACAGAGCTGGTTGGCAGACTCTGGTGCACTCTGCTCCCCGGAGTGAAGGGGGACCTCGGGGGAGGGGGCGGGGCTAGCTCTCCGGGGCCCCTCCCCTGACACTCCCGGCCTCCGTTCTCCACCCTGGGTCCCTTCCCACCAGCCAGACTTATCAGCCCCCGGAGGCTGCTCACCTGCACTCTGCGCCCCAGCCAGAGGAGCCATCTCTTTGCCTGTGCCTCCTTGTGCCCGGGACCTCATTCTCTGTCGGGTGACACAGCCTCGGGGTGGGGGTTGGTCCCAGGACGATGGGCTCCCTGCCACCCCAGCCGCTCACCCCCCGCCTCTGGGCTCCCACCCTGCAGGCCGCTGCGCCCCCATGAAGAGCATCTCCAGCAGCCTCAAGGAGACCATGAACCCACACGACATCGTGCAGGATGCCATCCACAACTTCTCGCCTGCCTACCAGCAGTACACACAGCAGTCCACCCTGGAGCCCGGGCCCGCCTGGCGTGGTGGCGCCCACAGCCTCTCGCGCTCCCACAGCCTCAGTGGCGCCCGCGACAATGAGAAAACTCTCCTGCTTAGCTCTGATGACGAGTTCTAGGTGCGGCTGCTGGTGGGGAGGACTGGCACCTGGGCCCAGGGCAGGGTGTGCCCCCCTCCAGCCCCACGCACGGGCCGGGAGGCAGCCTGGCACAGCTTTGGCATTGCCCGTTAATTTATTGGACCAGAAACACTCACTTGTCACTTCCGGAGGAACAGCCAGAAGCTGTGGGCCCAGGGGACAGCCCAGGCTCACAACGAGCCTTCAGGAATACTTACACGAGGCCACCCCTGCGTCCGGGCGCGGGACAGAGGACGCTGGGCGTGACTGCTGTGCCCCTGTGGCTTGTCCTGCGGCGGCATGGTGGGACCAGCTGTGGCCATGGTGGACCAGCGGCCCTCTCAGCCCCCACGTGGCTCACCCCTTCCCCCATGAGACTTTCAGCCCTGTCCCCAACATCGTGCAATACTCTGACCTGGGCTCTTTCCTGCCTGCTCCCGCCCTTGTGCCCCCTGTCCATGCTAGATTAGCCTCACCCTGGGCCAGAGGGGCAGGAGGGAACCCAGATGCTCCCCGCGGCCCCTCCTGACCCAGGCCTGCCTGGCATGCTGCAAGGACCAGAGCGGCACTAAGAGCCACGTGTCCCATGTCGGAAGGGCACTCAGGTGCATCTGGGCCCCTCTTCTGTTGACGAGGCCTCTCCAAGCAGGGCTCTCTGGGCCCCTGGGTGTCCTCTCCGTGGCTGCCCTGCTGCCCTTCCTGCCTGCCTCATGCCCCTTCCTCCTGGCCTGCTGAGGGCAGCCAGCAGCCCACACTGCCCTATCACTTGGGGTCTGTCTTCTGGAGAGCATTTTGGGCAGAGCCCCTGCTTCCAGGCTGCTGAAAGGGTGGGCGGCTCCCAGCCCCTCCTTCCCAGGCTGAGCAATGAGAACCTCCACAGGGTCCTGGTCTGTCCCTAGGGCTTCTCCTTCCCGTTTCAGGGGAAGGTCTGAGTCTCCACATGTCAGACCAGCTTCTGGAGGAACAGTCCCATGGGAGGGAGGATGGAAGGTGGGGGCGTGCAGCAAGGAGCTGGGAAGTGGGAGGAGTGACCCCAGGCTCCTCTCCCTGGCGCCGTATCCACACAGGGCCTGGTGTCCTGCCTCGGCTGGCCCCTCGGCCCATCTCTTCTGTGCCTTAGTCACATATGAAAGCTGCCCCTTCCTAGGCCCTCAGTCTGTCTGGCCGCAGACACTCACTGGGGGCCCCTATTAAGCTCCTGGCACTCAGAGGATCCTGCTGCACTGGGCCAGGCACCCTTGGACAGGCCTTAGGGGTGGCCAGGATCGCCAGTCCCCTCCCCTCGCTCACCTCCACGCCCATATACGCGGAGCCTCCGAGGGCCAGAGCCCCCAGGCAGGCTGGCTTACACCGGCCACTGTCTTAGGAGGAGCTCCTACAGGCAGAGCGTTCTGTCATTTGGATCCCAGATGGCACTTGGGTTTGGGCTGTAACAGCCTGGAGAAGGTGGTACGGTGAGGAGGGCCCTGCCCTGTGGCACCAGAACTTCACCCTGGAGTCTCTTCTCGTTCATTCCTGGAATGAAGTATGCCAAGGGTCCAGTGGGGGATTCCACCCCAGTCGTCTTCCCAGGCTGTCTTTGGCCCTGTGACCAAGCCAGCCCCCCCGGGGTCACAGAGGCCTGTGTGCAGGGGCCTGTCCGGTGGGCCTGGCCAGCTGGTACTCAAGCTGCCCAGGAAGGCAGCAGGTGGGAGCAGGCTGTCTGAGATCCTTGGTCCCCACTCCCCCCTTTGCTTTCACAAATCTGTGTGATTCTCCTTCCAGGCCAAAGTGTGCCGCCGACTCCCTGCCCCCTGGTCTTGGCCCACCCTGGCACTTGCTGGCTAGCATGGTTCGTGGGGAGACACGGGGGTTGGGGGGGCTCCGGCGGAGTCGAGGGGCCGCGAACGCGCGCCCGCCCACTCCACCCTTCCTTCCTAGGATGCAGAACCTTTTTTTTTTTTTTTGTAATTCCTCCCCCGCCCCCCGATAGAGTAGATCTTTGTACATAAAAAATACTTGAAAACCGAACTGGATGATGTATGAGAGGACAGAGTCCCCTAGTTTTGTATCTCGTGTATGACTGCCATGAATTCCACCAGAAAGCCGCTCTATTTTGGTCTCTGTGACATTTTAAATGCGTGACAGAAGTGAGCAAATAAAGTGAGAAGTATATATATATGAGATAATATAGATTGTATTGAAATCTCTTCTGCCTGTGGGTGCGGTTTTTTCCTTCCTCTTCCCCACCGCCCCGAGTGTGTGTGTGGGGCTGGGTTTGGCGGTTGTGGGCAGGGGCCTCCTAAGAAACTGGCTTCCTTCCAGGGCGTGATGTGTAGGTGATGGGGGAATGCACAGTGCCAGAGACGGACATTGAGGTCCAGGCTCCCCCCTGGACGAACGGTCTCGGGGGGACCCAGGGGCGGCTTTGGTCACGAGGGGCCCACCCTCCCGTGCTGGTGTGTGCAGCGGGTGGATGCCCCGTTGCCCCTTCTGTCAGCCAGCCAGAGGGGGCCCCGCCGGCACACGGGCAGCCCCATTCCTACAGGTGTCTCCCAGGGGCTTGAAGAGACTTCCAGGGCTCCCTACTCCTTGCAGGCTATCTGCCTGCCTCCCTGAGCCCACTCCCCACTGTGGGACCTTAGGTCCCTGCCTCTGGAGCCGGGGCTGCGGGGGCCGCGGGCTGCCAGGCCAGGTGCCTGGCCACGCAGGGCACCTTCCGGCCTCCCGCCTCTGGGGAGGAGGGGCCGTCCTGCTGACAGGCGCGCTCGGGAATGCGGCGTGGGCGGGGGAACTTCCCAGCCAGCCACGAAACTCCCCTTGTCCCGCCCGTGGCTTCCTGCTGCCCTTTCGCAGGCCTGAGCTCAGCATCCCAGGATCGGGGATCAGGATGATGGGCCTCAACCTGAGAGGGGGCGAAAGGCCAGCGGACGCAGCCAACCCGTGTGGTTTGGCCCTTCCCCAACTTTGAAAGCTCACAGCTGCCACAGACGTGGCCTTTTCCCTCAGCCCAGCCCTGCCACCTCTCTGGACAGAAACCCTCCTCACTGCAGTGTGTGTGCCTGCGTGTGTGTGTGTGTGCTGTTGTGAACGTCTGCGCTGCATGTTAAAGCTTGCAGCCCCTCGGGTTCCTGGTGTTTGTCACACCTATGCCCTCATGGTGCAGTGAGGCTGCAAGGAGCTGAAGAAGTCATCAGAGGCCACACAGCTAGAAAAAGGCACACCTGGCTTCAAACTCCGATTTCCCTGACCCACAGACCACTGTACCCTCCACTCCTTTTCAAGCTGTCCCCAAAGGGCTGGCAGATTGGGCTGAGATTATAGCGAGTTGGAGCCTAAGATGAGACACACGGTAGCCTTTTAGGCCTGCAGGCTGGGACTGAAGAAGCCACTTCTCTCTCGGCCTCCCTGTGCCTTCCGGAACATGGGGAAAATACTTTCTACTTGGCTGTAGAAAGTCAGGCCTCGGTGGGAAAGTGCTGGAAAGATTACTCTTAAATCCGGGAATTTTCCTCTGGGCGGGACTGTTTATTCACTGAAGGGATGCCAGGGATTTAACCCTACATTTCATTGTCCTCCTGGCTTTGTCTTCCCCTGGGACGCTCCAGGGAACCAGACGGAAGAACAGAGGTTTTAGCACCAACCCCCCCTCCAAACCACTCCCCCCAAGCAAGAGCTAGTCCTCCCCTCCAGCAGAGGGGCCTGCCTGGGGTTGAAAACAGAACTCCAGCTTCAGTCCTTCATTCAGAACCCATCCCACCCACCCCCCACCCCCCAAAAAAACCCATAGCCCAGGGACTTAGACTTCTTCACTGTGGAAAAAGAGAACTTGACTTTATTCAGAAAGTCCACAAAATACAGAAGGCGGATAACTCGCTTACTGTAAGTCAGAAAATAAATAAATTCTGGGGGCCGGGCAAATTTTTTTTTTAAACATTTTTTTGGGTTGTTGCCATTCGGCTTTCCCTAAATATAAGATAAAATGTGATTTGCAGATATAAAATACAAAGTCCAGCACAGGGCCACACACCACTGTTCCCAGGGAGTGGGTGCTAGGTTTCTGGCTAGGGAGAATAACTTAGATTCGTGCAATAAATAAACAGCTGTATACGGGGGGGAGGGTTGGGGCTGGGCTCCCCAGGAGAATGGCAGTCAATGGCAGTGGCCAGCCCCCAAGCCACAGTACAGTGGTCCTTCTCAGGACCCCCACCCCTGGCTGCAAGACCTCAGGATCTGTCTTCTCATCTTCCTACCCACCACAGTCGATGGTCACCTCCTTGGTCCCCTTTCTCTTTGGCTGGCCAGCTCCTTCCATCTCTTCCATCCGTATCACTTTCTCAGGCCCTCTACTTCTCTTCCCCTAACTCACAGAGGCGGCTCCCAGGCCAGGGAGGCCCTTCCATCATCCTTTCCAGTCTGTGGCCACAATGCCCCTGACAACCCTGGCTGGAATCTCAGGGCAGCAGTGAGAAGACCTGGCTTTTTTCCAGCTCAGCCACGAAGCACAGATGGCCTTGAGCACTGGCCTGTCTGCTGGAGGCCTGTTTCCCTGTTAACTGGCCTTCACTGGGTGATGTCTGATGATTCTCTCAGCTTTGGAAGGCCAGGCACCCCCAGGCCCAGACCAGAGGCGGGAGCATCAGCTTCCCAGCCCCAGGAGACACATATAGGAGCCAAACCTAGTCCTGAGTCCTGGGAGGGTGCGGAGGGGCTAGGGTATGATCTGAGCAAATGCTTTACAAAATGAGGGGTGGCCCTCTTCTCCGGGACAGCCCTTCTCTCATCCGCTCTGTATCCCATCCTCCCAGTCTAAGAAGGCTGGACTTTCAGCCAAGAGAGACCCCAGACTCCAACACCACCCTACCATTCTCACCAAAGTTGTCCCACCCCAGGGCCACCTATTAGGACCCAGTTATAGGGACAACGAGGAAGACAGCAGGCTCGGGAGGGATCATGTGTTCGCCACGGGGGGGCTGGTGGCTGCAGAGAAATGGCACCTGGGGACAGAGACCACGCTTAGGCACTTTGGGAAGGAAGCGGGGGTCGGAGGGGCGTGGCTTGGCAGGGGGTGGGGCCGGGGCGGGCACTAGGAGCAGGCGGCGGGGCCGGGGCCAGGGCCGGGGGCGGGGGCGGGGGCGGGGGCGGGGGCGGGGCCCGACCCGGCCCCGGACCCTGGGGACGACTTGACGATGGTGATGACGCTGGCGGGCGCCACGAGCGCGGCGGGCCCGCGAGCGGCCACGGAGCGCGCGAAGCCCTGCAGCGCCTCGCACTTGCCGCGCAGCGCGTCGAGCTCCAGGCGCATGGCTGCGTTCTCGCGCGCCAGCTTGTCCACCTCGCGCTCCAGCTCCGACTTCTGCTTCTGCAGCTCCTCCTTCTGGCACACGCGCTTCACACGGCAGCTGGCCGCGTAGCCGCGGTTCTTGAGCGTGCGGCGTCGCTGCTTGAGCCGCGTCACCTCCTCGGCGGAGAGCCCGCGCAGGTGCCGGTTCAGCTCGCGCACCGACAGCCCCATCAGCGCCTCGTCCGACAGGTGCGGCGTGTTCTCGCTCAGCTCACGCTTGATCTGGGGGCAGTGTGTTGGGCACATGGAGAAACTGAGGCCCAGGTTCGCGCCCTGCTTGTGGGCGCCGGCCCTGGGCCTGGCGCGCAGCAGGTGCTGGAGACGGCTCCCCCCACCCACCCCCAATGCTCCCCCTTCACCACCATAGGCCCCAGACTTAGAGGCTGGACTTGCTCCAAGGCCCCAAACGGGAGGGCAAGGAATCCAGAAAGGGGAAACTGGGCCAAACCAGGATCTGAACACAAAAGGAACCACCACGCTGGGGCTTGGCCCAAATTCTAACCCAGTGCCCCAGCCTGGACTCAGCCAGAGAAACCTGGTCCAGAAAGCACCTTTTAAGTCCTCTCCAGCCCAGTAAGCATGGTTCCGATGGGGAAGCCGGCCCAGAGAGGGAAGTGACCTGTCCCAGGAGGCACACAGCCTACCACCAGAGCCCAGGCCTTGCCCCTGGAGGCATACATCTATGACCAGAGCCCAGGCCTCTTGGTTTCCAGCCCAGGGCCCTTCCCGGGGCCTCATAAACACCTGTGGCCTGTTCAGCCACCCTTGAGGATTCCAGGAACTGAAGCTGGCAAGTTGGGATGGGACAGTGAGCCTAGGGAAGGAGGGAGGGGGAGGACAGGAACAACAGGGGCTGCCTCCTCACCTTCAGGGCTTTGCTGGATAAGGGATCCACAGACATGTTTGCAGAAGGTGCCCTCTGGGCTGAGACCTAGGAGAGAGAGGAGACCAAGATCACTTTTTTTTCCTACTTTGAATAAAACCCAAACTCACTACCTTGGCATTCAAGGCCTCTGCCGTTCTGGAAGTCCTGTCATACCACCTTTCTCTGTCCCAATGGTCCAGCCACACTGGCCCCCTTGCATGGTTCATTCCAGCCTCAGGGCCTTTGCACCTGCTGCCCTCTTTACTGCTGTCTTCCTTTTCACCTCCCCACAGTGACTCTTCATTGACAGCTTTGCCAAATGTCCCCTCTTCGAAGTGGTCTAACCATCCTGGCTAAACACCTCCTGTATCATGACATCACCCCATTTGCTAACCCTCATAGTCACCTCTTCTGCAATTATTTTGTTTGGTTACTTGGTTATCTCTGTCC